GGGGGGGGGGGACAAAGAATTGTTTGATTATCGAAGAAAGAAAGCGAGAAAGCGAAGAAAGAAAGCGAGAAAACTTTGGGATTTTCCATTCAAATTAATTATTGTCATTGTTAGGTTTTTGCGCATTAGTTTCATATTTCCTCTCAAATTCCTTCTTACATCCCTATATATAAGTTTCATATTTCCTCTCAAATTCCTTCTTACATCCCTATATATATATATATATATTTTCCATAGAGATTTCTTGACCTAGACAAGAATGTAATATTAGCTCAATCCCAATTTTGATCAAAAGCTAAAGTGATACAATTTTCTCTCCATTATACTCAATCATTGTTATTTTTTGTTTGATTTCCCATTATCATTTGAAATTGCTAACTAATGAAAATTTTATTCTTGAAACAAAATGATGCTCACCAAAAATATGTGGAGAAGCATGGGCCAAACAAGGATTTGTGACCAGAATGGGATCCACTTATCTGGAGGGAGGTGGTTGGACCCCCTAAAAAGGATCAAATGAGAGGGATGTCTACATTACGGGATTCAACAGAGCATGGCATCCCTTGGCAACAATATGACATGAGTGAGGCCTCATCCTCTACCACTAGGATTTTTATGACATAGGTCCAACAGTTGCAGTCTAAGCTTACTCAAGTTTGGGAAGAAATGGCAAAGCAAGTTTAGATAGAGGTATCACAGAGAGCATCGGAGTTGGAGGGCAGCTTTGAGAGGAGATTCCAAGAGCATATGTGCTTATTTAGCTAGCAATATTCTGTAGGTTTTGCACCACCCCAGACTGGTGGTCCTTCTTCTTGAGGGTTTGGATATGATCACTTATCACCTCCTATTTAGAGACATTGATCTTTTAAACTTATATTATATATGTTTAGATATATGTAGTGCATATGTATATATATTATATAGGATGAGAAGTTAGTACATATTTCATAACTTAAACTAGTTTTAGTTTTGAAGTATTAGAGTTTAGATTAATAAAATATATAATATTAATGAAAAAATCTAACAATCCTATAGTAAAAAGAAAAAAATTACAATACAATATTTTGCAAAAAAATAGCACATCTTTATTTTTATCTAAACTAAAATTTCTATAATTAATTAAAAACTCAAAAAAATTGATTCTTACTAGCTTTAAAACCAAAAAAAGAAACTAAAAAAAAAAAACCAAAAAATAAGAAAACAAAAAAGGGAGAATTAGATAAACCAAACCGACTACCAATTTAAAGAAACAGCATATCAATTTAAATATAAGAATTAAAAATAAAGAAGTAGATTAAAAAAAAACTGCAGATTTTAATTGATAGCCAAATTTGCTATCGATTATACTTACAATTGATAGGCATTTTTTGTTGATTATAAGTATAATCAATAGGAACTTTGGCTGTCGATTATAATCCGCACCCACCCTACCAGTTGAAAAAAATTAAATCTCCTGACTAATTTAATTTGAAATATAATTGATAGCTTTATTTCAATATAATCGACAAGATTTATGTTGAATATGTTTTTATTATATAACTGCACTCCCAAATTAGAACATCCCATTGTGTTCTCCTTTTCATCTTTATTGCATCTTCCCTTCTCCTTTTTTCTCGCAGGTAACGTCCCATTTCTTCTTTCAACTTCTCCTTTTAATTTTCCTTTTTCTTTCTTCTTTTATATTCTTCTATTTGTACTTTGTAAATATCTCTAGTTTTATGTTATTATTCATTGATACCTATTTCAGTATCTTTTTTGTTGACAATCCATCATCTTCTTTCTCTTTTTTGTTGAATTCCTATTATTTGATATACTAATAGTTTTTTTTCTTTTTTTTTTTTAAAGATTTTAATACCTTGATTATGAGGTAAGTTTTTAAATTTATACTTTTTATTTTATTGTCTTTTTGAATTCTTATTATTTGATATATTAATAGTTCTTTTTTTTTTTCCAAATTCTAATACCTTGATTATGAGGTAAATTTTTTTATTTATACTTTTTATTTTCTTTTCTTTTAAATTTCTTTTCTTTTTGAATTTTATTATTTGATATACATTTTTTTCCTTATTTTTGGCAAGAATAGATCTCAAAATAATTAAGGTTAGAATCCTCATTTTAATTTTATTTATGTTTATCTATTATTTTTTATATTATTCTTAAAATTGTTTCATAAATATATTGATGGGGAAACTTGATAATTGTGTTGAATTTGATTTTATTGTTTTTTTTTTGTAATTTAATTAATAATAAAAATTATAAATATAATTATGGATTTTGTTGAATTTTGTATTTTTTTTTTATTTCTTTGCCCAGTATAATCAACAGCCAATGGTTGTCGACTATACATATTTCATTGACAGCCATTAGCCGTCACATATAATTTGCCAAAAAGAAAAAAAAAAACATATTCGATAGACACAAGCTCTCGATCAAACTAGTATCATCAACAACCATTGACTATCAAATATGTTTGTCATCATCATCAGCCAAACATATGTTAATTAAAATTATGTAATCGACAGTCATTAGCCATCAATAATTTTTTAAAAAATTTTGGCCAAGTATAATCGACAGCATTATGATGTCGATTATATCATCTTCGATAGCCATAGGTTGTCGATTATAACTTTATATTTGACATACTAATTTTCTGTCGATTGTAGTCATTTTTTACCATTGTTACTACGATAGTTATGGTTGTCGATTATGTCTGTCGATTAAGTTATAATCGATAGAAATCCTTGTATAATCGATAGTATTTTCTATTGAATATACTCTGTTTTCTAATAGTCTTTAAACTAAAAGGATTAATATTTTACTTTTAAGAAAAGTAGGAGTTTATTAATTTTTAATTGAATTTATCAAATAAATTTTATTACAATCACATAATTTAAAAATAAACAAAATACAAAGTCAAGTACTTGTTATCACTTCTCTTTTTCAATTTATTTTTCTGTTGTTTATAATTATTAAATATGGTCTTCTTTCTCATCTAAATAATTCCATTAGCTTGTCTGAATCAATATAAATTCATATATCATTGGTTATCAAAGAAAAAAATTGATTACCTTTTATCAAAATTTGAAATGAATTCCACCAAAAAAAGAAAAAAGAAAAAAAGAACAAAAATTTGTAGTTTGAACAAAAAAAAAAAAACTAAAAATTGAGAAAACTTTACTCTATTTGTTTCAAAATAAGTCTCTTTCTTAATTTTTTCTTCAAATTAAAAATTGGGTAATGATATGCGAACAATCTTTTTATTCAATTTTTCAATAAGTTTCACATGCCATTAAAGCCATTAAATAAATAAGCATACATTATTATGAGTCCTAATAAAGTGAAAAGAACTAATTATTAAATGACATATAAGATTATATGAAAAAATTATATAAAAAAGTTATATTTGAGTCATTTTACTTAATAATTTGGAAACAATTTATGTATTTATTTATATTATCTTTAAAAAGAAAAAAAATTAAAAGAAACATTTTGAGATAGGTTGATTAATTAAAATAAATAGATAATGATAAGATTAAAGTAGAAAAGAAATATTTGTTTTCTTTAAAAAAAAAAGAAGTTTGATTTAGAACAAATTCAAAATAAAAAATAAAACTTATTTTGTCACAAAGAGATTAGTATTTAATTGTATCACAAGGATATTTTCGACTATAAATGTACATATATCCAATCCTATAGTAATCCAACTATATGATTGTTGATTGGAGTATTCGACTATTATTTTGTTTGATCCTTTCCCATTCAATCCAGTCTCACTCATTTTATCTTGTATAATTCTATTCAAACCTAGATTCCAAACGTGACCTAAAATCCCTGTCAATCTCCATCCCTGTAAATGATATTTTGAGTGATTCTTTTGACTGCCTGTAGAATTTTCTCGTAGGAGTGTTCTCTTCGTTGCCTTGCTGATTTATTTGATTACCTTAACATTATTGTTACCACTTCGCATTAAGTTTGTACAAAATTAACATCATACTGTTTTTACACGCATCCTTCTTCGTTAGGTAAAAAGGCCTGGCCTTTATTTATTTATTTATTTATTTTTTTTGAACATTTTGTCATGAGATCGGCTCGAACCGTTACCCTAAGAGAGGGAGACATGAACCTTATAAACGTGACTAGAGCCACTTGGCCTAAAAGGCCAAGTTCAAAAGGCCTGGCCTTTAAACAACACACAGATTAAGGATATGAATATATAATTTGTGCTAGCAAAATTTACTGCTTGTCTTTACATCTTTTCTCAACAGGCATCGGGACCAAACCCAACAAACCCGTTGGCTCCATCAAAGGAAATCTGAATCCCTTCTTGCTGTATGTTCCCTATTATTGAGAGTCCTGATGCTGAAGGAGCGAATGCAAAACAGAAAGTTCCCATGTTATCTACTGGAATGAGAAAATTGGCAGCAGGCAGGATCAGACTTGGCCCTCCCGAGAAATAAAAGGACACCGTTGGAACCCGGACGTTGATGAACCTGGATAGGTCATAACATGTGTCGAATATGGATACCCCAGGGGCCCGAGGAAGGTTTGTTGTTTGTGCGATGAATTCGTCGCGAAAAGCCTGGTAAGCCACTCCGGGAAGCCTTGTGACAGCGGTACCGGTGTCCATGACCACGCCTCCAGTGCCCAATTCGGTTAGACGAAATAAGTCTTCGGATATTGCTACCCGGATGCCCCCGACTCCCAGACCCGAAAGTCCAATGTAGTAGAATGTAGGGAAGTGAGGGTTACGGACCAAGGGGATCCATACGGCACCCACGGGCAATGCCCTGCGTCCCAACACCAATGACCCTGATGCCCGAGTGCCCTGAGTTGCTAAACAGTAGCTGAAAGCGCCTCCAATTTGTCCTCCCAGTTGACCTACAAATGACATGGATCCTCCCCCGAGGCCCAGCAACCCGGCAGCTCCTATGAACATACCCCGGTTCATATGCCCGCATCCAATGGCCACATTCTGGACCACGGTTCCTCCAAAAGTTAGTGTCTCCAGCGCTAGGGTCCCCTTTGTGTATGACCCATCACCATACATGACCTCATAACGGCACTTTCCCGCATGGCAGCCAGGTTTTTCGATCCGGTTGCAAACCATGGAGCTACACGACACCCCTATATATGAGGCCGAAGTAGCCGGGTCGAATAACGGGTCAGACTGTTTATAGCATTGGCTACATGGTTTACACTGAACCCACACCATATCACTACCGGAGTCAATAACCATGTACTGACTACTCGGCGGGCTGCCAACTCCTATTCTGACAAAGTACTCACCACTTCCTTCGTCCACTCCGGAAACTACCTCCGACCCAAAATCCTCCACCTTGTAGTCTGTAACACTGCCACCGGAGAGGCGGTAGAAGAGGAACGCCACCCTTTTGAGGTCCCTTTGCATGCGTGCATGAAAACGGTTGCTATAGTTGGGGAAGCTGTGAGAAAACAAGTTGTCTCTGTGAAGTAATTTCATCTCCCACTTTACCTGATCACTTTCACTTCCATTTTGGTTCCTGAAAAGCTCTTGTTCTTCAGGTTTAGGCCTGTTCCTTATCCCTTCGAGGGTTTCTTTGATGTTGAAGAGTTGAAAATCCGGAAAAGAAATGGAAGTGGTTATGACGGGTATGGTACAGAGGAGGTGGAGTAACGCTGCCACCGTGAGTGGCAATGCGTGGGAGGTCATGATAGTGAGTGAGAGTTTTAATTGGGAGTTGGATTTAAGGATGTGGGGGGGGTGGGGGGGGTGGGCGGGGGAAGGGGAGAGGGAGAGGAGGGGATTTATTTTGGAGGGGAGTAGAGGAGAGAAGGAGTGGGGGGTGGGAATAATTGAGTTACTGTTTGATTTTGTAGTTTTGTTTTTGGATAGATTTGGAGTTAGAGAGGGAAATATGTATTGCTTTCATTTGCTTTTTATTTCCTTTTCGCTTTTGGGAGTGGTGATATTTTGACCTGCTTCATGTTAATTATTATTTTTTTAGGATAAATTTATTTTAATTGTATTCAATAACAATTTCGTGATTTAATAATTATTTTATCTTTATAAAATGTTTTTTTATGTAAAATTTGATAAATATGAAGTTTGAATTCTATTCCAAATGTACCAAAAATAAAATCATTTTGGTTGTATTCAATTATTTCTTATTGGTTGATTTTCTTATATTTTCATTTTGCTACTTTTAGATTCATTATTTATTATTATTATTATTA